TGTCACTCAATATCAAGCTCTCGGCCTCACTTAGTCATCACTCTCCAGTCACACACACACGGGCTCAAAATGCCGTGATACTAGCCCGAAACAATGATATGATATGCCAAATAATAATAATCGAGACTGAGACATGATATAATATGCATGAACAGGACTTAGTGCAGAATATCATTGAAACTAATGATATGACAGCAAGAAACGATCTCTCGGGTCTTAACAGTATCAACGTGAAGCCTTAACATGATATTTAGCATGATTTATAGCTCATTAACTTAGTCATATGATCACAACACAGATATCAGCAAGAAAGAGCCACTAAGCGGTGCCATGGAATAATATAGGCCGCAATTCTCACGCCCACACGCCTGCCACTTGGCATTTGCGTCACCTCAATAGTAATCATAGAACACATAGTTCGGGGTTTCGAATCCTCATAACCAAGTTTGGAAGCGTTACTTACCTCAAACCAAGCCAAAACTCTAGCCCGCAATGCCCTTGCCTCTTGATTCGGCATCCAAAAGCTCCGAGTCTAACCAAAATCAGTATATTATCATCAATACACACTAAAGGAACAAAGCCTATGCGAAAATTATCAAATTAACTCAAAAATCCCTAAATTGGCTAAACCCGACCCCCGGGCCCACGTCTCGAAAATTCGATAAAAATCACATCATTAGAATCCTTATCCTTCCACGAGTCTATACATACCAAAAATATTGAAATCGGACCTCAAATTCTCAATTTAAACTCTCCAATCTCAAGCCCTAATTTCCCAAGTTTTCACCCCTATTCTCTTCAATTTCCATGTTTAATCAACTGAAATCCACCATAGATACACGTATTAGGTTCTAAAATCTTACCTCAACAAGTTTTCCCTTGAATCCCTCTTCAAAACCCTCCAAGAAGCTCCAAAACCGGATGAAAAATGGTGAAAATAACTAAAATTTTGCGAAGCCCTTTATTTATACTTTCTGCCCAGCAAAACCGCACCTGCGGTACCAACGTCGCATCTGTGGTCCGCACTTGCGAACACATCTCCGCTTCTACGGATTTTCATTAACCAGCCAAACTCCGCTTCTGTGGTCGCTTAACCGCACCTGCGGTCACGTAGATGCGGGGACCTAGCTGCACCTGTGGTTCCTCTACGCACCTGCACCTCAAGACTTCTCCTGCGAAGCTCGCACCTACGGTCCCCATTCCGCAGGTGCGGATTTGACAGAAGCAGCACACCAGCTGCATTTCCTCAAGTCTAAACTTTTCCGAAAACCATCCAAAGTTATCCCGAGGCCCTCGGGACCCCAACCAAAAATACGAACAAGTCACATACCACTATTTAAACTTATTCCAACCTTCGGAACAGTCAAAACAACACTGAAATACCAAATCCCCCTCGGATTCAAGTCTAAGAATTCCAAAACTTCCGAGTTCCGCAAACGATGTAAAAACTTATCAAACCTCTTCCGAATGACCTAAAATTTTGCACACATGTCACAAATGACACAACGGACCTACTCCAATTTCCAGAATTCCATTCCAACTCCGATATCAAGATTTCCATTGCCGACTGGAAAATGTCAAATTTTCAATTTCGCCAATTCAAGCCTAAATCTACTACAGACGTCCAAAATATATTCCGAACATGCTCCTAAGTCCAAAATCACCCAATGGAGCTAACCAAATCATAAAAGTTAAATTCCGAGATCGAATACTAAAAAGTCAAGATTGGGTCAAACCTTTCAAATTTACAACTTCAAGCTGAGAATCATTCTTCCATATCAATTCCGATTATCCTGAAAACCAAAATCGGCGATTTACATGAGTCATAATACATCATACGGGGCTACTCATGCCCGAAAACTGGCGAGCGAAGTGCAATTGCTCAGAACGACCGATCAGGCCGTTACAGGAACTCGACTGAGTATACGGTTATCTGTCAGAATAACTTTCTCCATACAAGTTCTGGGGTAAATCAGAACTTATCAACAAGGCGTTCATCCTCTCCTTTAACATTTTATTCTTTCTGCAATTCCACTAGATTGCGGTAACTAAGGGGTTGTCGTTTGATGAATAATACCATATTCCAAATATATTTTTTCAAAAGAAGACTCACATTCACCGCCCTTTTACTTTGTAGAGCCAACCATAAGAACTGTTGTTTGTATCACGACAGAGCCAGAATTTATAAATGGTGAAGTTTTTAATCTTCAAAGCAATCTGACACATTCAGAATTCATAAACGGTGAAGTTTTTAATCTTCAAACCGAATAATAAATTGGGGTTGAAAATCACTAAGATTTTAATCTCCAGAACGAGTATAAAGTCACTTAGACTTTAATTTCCGATAAATGAGTAGAAAGTCACAAAGACTTTAATCTCAACGAACGAGTAAAAATTATGCAGATTTTGATCTCGAAGCATGAGTAGAAAAACCACAAAGATTTTAGTCTCCATAAAGAGTATAGAAAATCATGAGAATTTTAATTCCCTTTCCACATGGTTTTTCAACTAAACCATTATAGCACTTTCTCTAATCTTTATATATATTACGTACATTCATGATCTCAAAAATACTTTTAAGTATCAATGTAAGCCTAATTCATATCTTACAACATTGAAAATAATCTTCCACTTAGTTTATGCATGTTACGAACCGTTCTTCACTAGAAAGTATATGTTACTCCAAAGCATGCATATAACTCCAAATATTTAATATGAGATCATCATGTAATAAAGATCTACCCTCAAATTTATAGAAACTTAATTTAATAAATCACAAAGGAAAATAAATCCCCCTTCTGTTGGTTTGTGATATTATACCTTTTCTAGAGCAAATCACAACCACCGTTCTCTAAGGCAAGAAATATCATGCCCCTAGAATCTTGATTTAATCCCATTAGAAGAGGGTCTCAATGGGTGCGGACGGTTAAATGCACCGTTACAGAAAAATATCTTCTATAAGAGACAAAGACACCAACCATTTGAACATTGTTAATCCCACATGGTGATTCGTTGTGTTCACTAACAAATAACAATTGATATCACAGAAGAGAAGTAAGGAATGTAATTTTAATTTGCTTCCCTGACATGTCCGTCGACATCAATTATGCTTGGAGAATTTCACTTGACTTCCTTGAGTTCTAGTAACTAGAATGTGATCAACCAGAAGTCCAAACTTAAAGAGCCACGATCAAATGTCAAAAACCATCTTTGAAATTCATTTTCCAATAACAGTGCACCAACATTGCGTTATATATGATTGAAAAACGCAATCAGAAGATACAATTAGATTCCTTAAGAATGTTGGAATTATGGTGTTCAAAATCAGAAAATCAGATAAGCAAACAAACGTTCGTTTAATAAACAAATCGTAAAATAATTCCGAGCTCATTGAATTCACAGTATATCCTTAAGGAATTTAATCCCCTCACTGTTGCCCAAGGTACACGGATTAATTCCTCCCATGATAGAACGGAATAACTATTCTGCGATAGCGGCACTTCAAATCACATAACTTCAGCGAACTCAACAAACGGAGAAAATCACACTTGACACTTATGTTTAGAAAATAATGCAACAATGTAGAAAAGATGGGAGAAGATTTTCAGATTTTCCATGTCTTAAGATGAGGCCAAGCCTCTAAATTTATAGACAAAGAAAAAGTGAGATGGAAAGGTGCAACCCAAAAGATGCCTCTTCCATTTTCCATTCACATCCTTTAAAGCAAAAACACAACAACAGGTACCAATGTTTTTGACGAAGGCAGACAAGACTGGAGCCTAACCACAACATGGTGGCTGCACTTCATTTTGTAAATCTGCAAATAGTATATAAGTGAACTAATCTCCCATAGATGAAAAAGAATATGCCGTTCGGGAGCCACGTTACAACCAACAATGAACATCTGTCCTTTATGGATGTAAATAATATCCAGCAGTTGGTATACAGTATCGTCTTTATTATTTGCCATGTGTATCAATTTTTTATTATTTGCAATTACATATTAAAACAAAGCTAATCAAAAATAAAAATTACAACTTCTATATTGTTGGACCCATGCTGCCACGGGCCAATCAACTTCTAGTATTAACACAAACACTATAAATATCAATCAAAGTACTATGCTCAAGTAAGGCTTGTTGACTGCTGACAATAACAAAGCTGAAAGCTCATGGAACATATTCTTATAAACTGCATGCAGCTTCCTCAAGGGAAGAGCAAGCTCATCAAAATATGAGAAAAAGGAGTAACATTTGGACATGTATTTCAGATCTGTGAAGTTGATCCCAGGCATTAGATCATAAATTGAATTAATTACATTAGTGAGCCTATTTTTTTTTCTCCTGATGAATCAGAGCAATAAAGGTCTGAATCTTAGTAGATTGTGGCAGCAAGATCACTCTGCCACTTACAATATCTCGTTGTGTATTTAAGTCGTTTGCACAGAATTCTATCCATCGCTCGATGGAAATTGTGCTTCAAGGCGATCACCACAGCTTTTCCGCTATGATGACTTAGCCAACGACACGTGCCCTTGGGCTCCAAAGACCCCTACTTCAGTTCGCCAAGCGGACGGCGAGCACACGCATCGCCTCCTGTGCCTTAATTTGCAAATAGATGACAATATGACATATCCCCAACACTTGTGACGCCTCAATGTTCATTTGCACCGCAAAGACCAGGGAATTGAGAAGCTTATCACTAGAAAAAAAAATTGCAATAATTTTGTTTAGAGCAAATCCCAAATTAGTATTCATCAAATGGAGTAAGGGGTCATTTGGTTAAAGACAAGTTATATAAGTATTAGTAATGCAACAATTAGTAATTTGATGCGCGCTAAAGCATATATCTAAAACTTAATACTAAAGACCTAATTCAACATAGTCAATTAAACGCTATAATTTCAGTTATCGCTAAGATAGAAGATACAAAAGGCTTTTCATGACACTTTTAGAATTGCTGGAATCTTAGAGGACCTACCTGCAAAACCCAACGTTAGGTGCAGTTACGGGCGCGCCAAAACCGTGTCCACTACACTATATATGCACTGAAAATTGCCAGTTTCACAATTTTAACATTCAAAAATCAAAAGTCCCACAATGAAACCGCTCGTTCTTCTCATACTCTTCACTCTATTCCTTCTTCAATACGCTTCCGCAGTACAAATCCTCTCGAAATCGAAGCTTCAAAAATGTGAGAAAGTTTCCGATTCGAACCGCCTAAATTGCACCAACAAAATCATCATCGACTTGGCTGTTCCCAGTGAATCGGTAATCGATCTCTCTATCTTCTTCTAGAAACTTCTGATTTATCAATCGATTGTTGTAGAATAGCGAATTGTATGTAATTGCAAGTTTGATATTTGAGTTTATTTATTCTAGAGTGGAAATGAGGCTTCGTTGGTGGCAGAGATAGTTGAAGTGGAAGATAACTCAAGCACTAACATGCGAACACTTCGAGTTCCCCCGGTGGTTACCATTAACAAGTCCGCCGCATATGCTTTGTATGAGTTGACATATATACGCGTATGTTTTTAAACATTCCATGTTTGACTGGACACTGAGTTTTGAACTCAATATTTTCTTAGTGATTGTGCAAGAAAACATGCAAGTAATTGGTGAATAGTAAAGTTTGATACAGGAGCACTGCATCAAAGGTTCAAAATTTTAATCTGAAAAACGGTTAAAATTTGAATATAGTTAAATGAATTGAATTCTCAAAAAGCTGTTGGAATTGTTTGAAATAATGTTGTCAATGGAATTTTTGTCAAATATTTGTCTCCTTTCCTTTCTTATGTATAATGTTTGTGGAAGTATGTTTTTGCTGTTGAATAAGTGAGTGGAACTTTTTTTCATTCAGTAATGCTGCTGAATTGCATCCTGCAACTATTAAGTAGTTCTGATAACTCGCTGGAATTTTCGGAATAATTTATTTTCTTATACTATGTTAGCAGTTTGAAGCTGGAGGCCCCTAGATTACATCTTTAAGCATACTTGATTGTCCTGTGTATATTACAGTCCATCGGGTAGATTTTGTTTAGCAATGTCTATATCCAAGCAATCCTTCCATATATGTGATCCATGTAATTCCTCCAAAATGCACTCATGTTTTTGGTAGCACTTATTCCTGAAGAAGCTTCTCTATTGCTATATTTATTATCCTGTACACTTTTATTTCTCTTATGACGAATAATTGACTCGTCTGATTTGCCAAAATGGTGGAACAACACTTGCAGATGTACGTCGGAGTCATTGTTATATAAGACTTATTGTGGCCTAGTATTAAGGATTATAGTCTTGTACAGAAACTTGTTTAGGTCACCAAATAGTAGACAGTTGGAAAAGGAAAGCAGAAAAAAAAAAAAAGATAACACGTCCGATCCTTGTTTGAGTTTAATTCCATGGTATTGCTTTCTGTCGGTTCAATTGACTTTTCTCGTGTAGGATGTTGCTTATAAACCACAAGAATTCTATGTCAATACACGCAAGTGTGAGCCAGATGCTGGGGCAGATAGGGTGAAAATANCTACAGAAATCTCATCTTGTGCCTCGTTCAATTCACCTTGGCATATTTCTGCATTTGTCCTGTACAACGTGCCACAAGCAACTCCCTTTGCAATCACCAATGATCCCTTAGTGAGTCTCCACTTTTGATTTGCAAAATANCCAAATTGGACTTGCTTTAGGCAATTTTTCATTTTCATCAACAATCTTTGTTTGTGATTCTAGGTTATCTGAACCTGGTTAAGTCAAAGTATCCGGTGATTAAATAGTTCTGCTATTGAATTTGAGAAATATCAGCTTTAACTTTTCTATCTTATGGGTAAGTCCAAATTTGGCTCCAATTTCCATCTTCCTAAGAAATCTTGAAGATGATTTGAAAGGGATACCAAAAGAAAAAATAATCATTAGGGAATCTAGGCAGATAGTGCTCCTTGCGCTTCACTGCCTTAAACATAGATAAGTTCAGAAACTTTGATAAAATTTTAGTCCTTAATTACCTCAAAATGTTATTCCTCAGCGGTCCGTGTTCAGAGGTAAGCTGCAAACTTGTCTCCAAGCCAGCTGTGCCTTATAGCCTTCCATTGTTGTATTTGATAGAGAAAATGAATCGGTAGATCCGATAGGCTAAAGAGACAGTTCCTAAACCAAATGGGTGTTTAAGATGGATTTGATGATCGTGATTTGATGTTTGACATAAACCTGCATTTACTTTAAGTTCTATTTATAGATAATGGATGAATTACAGCATGTATTTAGAGTGTAGACATCACATGGATTCACACTTATACATCAGTAGCATAATCTATAATCAAGCACCGGAAGAGCTTAGTACCAAAGGCCTTATAATGGAAAATGCTAGGAGCCATGATGATTGAAGGCTTATAGGATGATAAGTTAAGTAGCCTGAAGTGTTGAGGATGTGTTTCCAGTCTTATTAGAGGATTCCGTTTCCTCCTAAATGTGCACCATTTGATGGGAATCAGATTGAATGCAAAAGGAGATAACTGTGGCTGCAAAGGATGCCCTATGTGGATTTGAGATAGTTCCGTGATATTGGTCACAGAAATTAATTGACGCTCACACCACATAGTGTTCCACACACTTCTTCTATTTAGTATGACCAGACTTGCCACTATCAAGTAAACAACAATTTATAACTATCTCATTAGCTGACAGAAAAACTCATACAGTTAGATAGAAGAGTACAACCATCTAAGTATCTTCATCTTTGTTTTCGTCCTTTGAATTTCCTTCAACTGAACAGGTATATAATCTTGAGAAATGATTGATGGCCGGTGGTTTATTTTTGAATATCTGAATGTGCCTCCTTTTTTCTATGGTGCGACTATGCTAAGTTTAGACTAATATTCATGTCTCCCTGTCTGTAGAGGTTTGGATGTAACGTTGCTTCTTGACAGACATTTCATCTTTATGCTATCTTTCCAGCAACTCCACCGCTAACACTTTTTAAGGCATAAATGTTTGTATTTTTGTGATAGCTAACTTTTCAAAAGTGCTTTCTGTGTCAGCTCAGTAACTTCTTGATGTTTTTAATAGGTTGAGAGATGAGAACGGACACATTATCGAGAACACTCAGGTAACATGAGATTTTTAATTGCTTCTTCATCTTGGTAGAATTGTTTCTTGTTAAGGAACATGACCCACTGATACATTCATCAGCTTGCCAAACTTATGATTGTTGCGGAAGCCAAATGTATAGAGTGTGAATAAGTCACAACTACTATACCAAAAATTATGACAGCCACCAAATAATAAATAAGACAATAAAGCAACAATAAAGGGAACACCAGAATTTACGAGGTTCGGCTAATTTTGCCTACTCCTCGGACACAACCAATATTTTATTCCACTCCAAAAATACAAGTGAAATAATACTAAAGAGAGAAGATACAAATGCCTTAAACAGATGAGAAGGCAAATGAGAGGTGTGTTTCAATCCTAAACATTAGGCCTTCTTTTATAGGGGAAAAATCCCCCCCAAACTTAACTCCCAACCAATGTGGGACTTTGGCATTTTGCCAAACTTCAACAATGATGACTATATCTTCAATCTGGGCTGGTTTTTCAGAAAACATTTCATGCCAAAGAAAAATAAAGGAGAGATATATCCAATTTCTTAATGACTGATAACTAGAGCTCTAAGGAAATTTGCTGCCAATCATAATACCTAAGAGCTGTCTTTCGAATTGAATTTTTAAAGGTAAGTGGAAGTCATCCATTTAAAACTGTATTTAGGAGTATTGTTGAAAAGGCAAATGAATATGTTCAGTTAATGTAGAACATATTATCTACTGATAACCGGAAGGTCTACTTCACAATATTTTCTCCCATTGAAAAGTTTCCTTTATTAATTTATCCTAGCACAGGATGTAATCCTTCTACTATTATTTCTTCTCAGCCTACCTGTTGCCCTTGTGGAGATCAGCGGAGAGTTCCTTCATCATGTGGAAACTTTTGTAAGTTCCTATCCATTTTTCAAAGAATCTTTCATCTTCAGTGCATATTTCAGAGTAAGCAAGAAATTGTTTCCTAGCTGATATAGTTTCTTGATTTAGTTGACAAGATGATGCACGGCAAGGCAAACACTGCTCACTGTCTTCGTTTTCCAGGTGACTGGTAAGGCCTTTATAAATCTCCATTTTGTGTCAATAAATTTCTATGGAAAATTGTGTTATGATTTGAGATCAATTAATTTTGAAAGTCATCTAGCTTCTTGGATCAAAATTGTTTTGTTGCAGATGTTAAAACATTAAAATGGTTTTCTGGAGATGCTGTTCTAAAATGGCTTTTTATAACATTTCAGTTTCCATACATTCCTTCTTTACCAATGATATATTTTTATTGTTACTAGATTTATGCAAGGCTATAGTGACGTGTAAAGATTAGTTAATATTGCAAACAGTTCTCTCTACCTTTAGGTTTCATGTATTTGGCATTGGGCAGCGCTCAATTGGATTTACCATCCGAATTGACGTTAAGCAGCAATCTCAGAATTCGGTATTTTCTCTGGAAATCCTTACAAGTATCTTTTCTATTTTATGCTCCATCATGCATACTTGTTTCACATTTAATTTCTTAGCATACAACACTCATTTCCTTTTTATTTTGTTTTTAGTGTCTAAGGTATGGTGGTGTCATGCATGCAGGATCATTTCTTTGAAATATGTTAGTTATTAATCATCCAACTTTATATGGGATTAAAGCATAGTTTATTGATTGATATATATTAATTATTAGAAAGAGAAGTCAGCAGCATGAATTGGAGAAAGACCAATTTTGCAAAATAGTGTTGCTTTGCTAGTCTTCAGCACTGTGCTTTATCCCCTATACATGTTTTCATGTACAGCTAGTTTAGAATTGATTTATCTGTCTTTCTGGGCATTAGCTCCTAAAAATCAGCTATAGACATGGCAGTTTCCTTATCTTCACCAGTTCACCTTTCACCATTTCTTCTCCATATTAATATTGACTAATTCATACTTCTACATCTCATTTGTTTGACAATATTCAGTTTTTGGGAGGGAGAGCATATTTTGTTCCAGCATCTTAAAAGATTATGAATCACCAAAACTAGTAGAACTAAAGTAGAATATATTGTCAAGCTAACTCCTTTGGTCATCTCAATGATGACTGTTTAAGAAAAAACAATTGAAAAATATACTATTTGCTGTTAGTATGGTACCGGGTTTTAGATGCTTCTATCATTTAACTACTGCCTGCAAGAGTTAATATATGGTGCAAATTTGAATACAGGAATAATTAGCAGAACCAATGACAAAATCAAAACCATGCCTTTTTTTTGGTGGAATGATGATATTCCACTCACTTTTGCATGTGAAGGGTATAGATGTTATAGTTGATTCACTGTGAATTATTGGCGGCAGGAAGTGATTGTCGGTCCGGAAAATAGAACTGCTACATCCAGTGATAGTTTTCTGCGGGTTAATCTGGTTGGAGACTATGTTGGATACACTGATATTCCGTCTTTTGATGACCTCTACCTTGTTATACCAAGACAGGTAGATCTTGTCACTCATCTCACTCTGAAAGAGAACTCTTTAACAGTTTTCAATTTTACCTGATATAAATCACTGAGAATATGCTATACTAGAAACTAGAAAGCACTCCTTAAAGTGGCATATTATGCAAATTTAATTCTTGAAGGACAAGAATAATGCTTATTACTTCCTTATCAGGAAAAATAAAAAAGGAATACTGCTTATTACTTTATTGCATATGCAATTGCTTGCACCTCGTTACTTTTGGCCATGTGTCTTTCGTTGATCATGCAAGCATTTCAATATGCTCACTGCAATTTGTTTCTTCTTTCCGATGGAATTTTTTGTTTTTCATTCTTGGGTACTCTTGTCATTTGTGATATTAAGGTTTTTGTATCCCTTTTGTTGAAGGGTGGCCCAGGTCAACCACAAAATCTGGGGAGCAATTTTTCCATGTGGATGCTACTTGAGAGAGTGAGGTTTACATTAGACGGGCTTGAATGTAACAAAATTGGTGTAGGTTACGACGCGTTCAATGCACAGCCAGATTTTTGTTCAGCACCATTTTGGAGTTGCCTGCACAATCAACTATGGAACTTTTGGGATGTCAGTAAATTTAAACACTATGCTCGTTTTCAAAAATAGGATTCTATTTGTCTAATAAATTCCCACGTCATTCGAAAACTTATTCTACTGCAGTCGTGCCCTCTTTGTTTTCCTTCTTAAGTAATTGCATTGCAAATTTTCTTGCCACTACAACATTTGCACCATAATGATGGTCTATCCAATTCATATATCTGTCTAAACTGCATGAAAGAGACATCTTTTAGATTTCTGTAACTGTTTGTTATCTGTTTCTATATTCTACAGGCGTGTGCTGCCCATGTTTTCCCTTTTTCTTTGTTGCTTGTGTTTGAAAACATTTTCTCCCTACATGTCTGCTATTCCAGTGGCTTGTACAAATTATCTTTCTTAAGGAAAAGTACCAATTTGAGAATCAACCAGCACATTTATACTAAAAGTAGATATAAATAACATGGGGAAAACGGTGGTTGACTGTGGTTGAAGTACAAATGGACCTTAAAAGCAATTTACAATGTTCCGGACTTGAATTGTGAGTAATTTTATCTTGCAGGCTGATCAGAATAGAATCAGTAGAAATCAGGTGCCGCTATATTGCGTGCAAGGAAGGTTTGAAAGAATCAACCAGCATCCAGTTAAGTTTCGCTTTTAGATTTTGTGTCTGCGCAGATGTCTTTTGCTTCTGCTTGTAATTTACTAGTATCTACAGAATGCAGGAAGTCATGCATTCTCTATTGGAATTACAGAAGTCCTGAACACAAATCTTTTGATAGAACTGAATGCAGATGATATAGAATATGTATATCAAAGGTCAGTCATGTTATTAGGTGTTAGTGCTTTGTCTTGTGGTTCTCCTTGGCTTAGTTTCTAATACGTGTTCCCCTTCCTCTGAAAAATGTGAGCTTATTTGATGGCCGATTTTGTATCACCTCCAGACCAAGCCTGCAATAACAACGACAGAGACATAATTAGACAAGGGACCAATTCCTTAGTGTTTCTTCATCAGCTTTTAAAATTTGTTTAAATATTATGCAATCCAGAAAAAGCTATCTGAAGTTACCTTTTGATATTTTTCCTGTCAAATTAATTTAGGCAGCATTTGATAATCAGTCAGTTGAGACAAATTTGATGCTTTAGACTTCTTCATCGATTTTCAGGAGTAAGATAAGTAGCTCTTTTGAGTAAGATTTTTTTCTATTTGCACGATTAATCTGCTAATTTTGTCCTTGCAGTTATTATTATTTGGAAACTCCTATAGATTTTATATTCATATAATGGAGATTGTTTAATTGTGGTCGTACTTCTTCTCTATCGCTACTATTATTTATGTTTCTTAATAAAAAAAACAATTTGTCCTTTATTAGAAATGCCAAGTACTAACCAAATTACAATTTTAAGAAGCATAGTACATCAAACTTTTAAGGAACAACAAACATTATCAACTAATAGGAAAATGAAGATAAAAGTTGTCCCTTAATTTGGACGGACTATGAGCATACATTGAACATTTTGAAGATTGATTTAGGCCTTTTATGCAGGAGCCCTGGGAAAATTATAAGTATTACAATCCCAACTTTTGAAGCTTTAACTCAATTTGGATCAGCAACAATTACAACAAAAAATATAGGTGAAGTGGAAGCGTCCTACAGCCTCACGGTAGACAACTACTTTATGTTTAGACAGTTAAAATATATGTGTTTTATCTGTTCATCAGTTTAATGTTCCGTCATGCTATTTAAAAGGATAAAGTTTCATATTCATATCCCAGAATTAAGTCGCCAATAGGAGTTGGCTCAGTTTGTAAGGATCAAATGCTTGCTTGAAAGGTCTTGGTTATCCCCTCTGCTGGACAACCTGTACGTCCAAAGTAAGTCCTCCTTGAGGCCTGCAGCATGCTTTGGCCCTGGACGAGTCCTCCCCTTACTGATATGTTCCATAGACCACCCACACCCCCAATCCACAAAGGAGAAAATAAGGAAAAAAAAAAAAAGGAAGTCCCATAATAAGTCATGCTACATCATTGTAGCATTATCTTGGTTTATATTTGCTTTGATTTACCAACTTGATAATTTCCTTTGTACTACCCCAGATCTAATCTAAGCAAATTTCACCAGTGGACAATAGTTAAATATCTGCGATGTCCTTTGGTGTATCATTTCCTTTTTTTCTCTTTTATTCAGAAAGTTCACAATTTGTTATGGGATTCTAGAAAAGCACATAGATGTTCGAGAACAGAAACTTTATTAAAGCATCGCAAGCCTGTAGACTTAATTCTGATTTTAGCAGGTCAATTTGCAGTTCTTGTTCAATCACAGATATACTTCAATTCGTCTACTTGAATAATTATTCATAATTGACTTTTTCATCATGCAGTTCGAATGCTCAGCCGGTGTCAGCCAAATGGAGGTTATCATACTTATTTCTGATATATGACACAAAGTCATGATTATTTCAGAAGAAATAACTTTAGTAAACCTTATGGTGCTGCAGGAACAATTTTATATAATGAAGCCAAATGAAGTCATGACTCGAGCATTCAAGTTGTACCCAGCAAGTGATCAAGCTGCAAAGTATATCTGCTCAGGTAAGATATTAATGAGGAGGGCATGAGATGTAGTGGATGATTCCGGAGATGCCACATCTTCTATGTTTACTCTTTGTTGCAGCAATACTGAAGGACTCAGATTTTAATGAAGTTGATCGGGCGGAGTGTCAATTCACAACCACAGCTACTGTTCTTGATAATGGATCACAGGTCAGCTGTAGTTTATGCTGGAAATCTTGGTGCACACTGTGTTTGTGCATATTTTTTTCTACCAATATTAAAAAAGGAAAATAACAATGATATTATGGGCTAAATGGTGGGGAGAGTGGAGTGGAGACACCAAGAAAGTTTCTCTTCTTCCTGCATAGTGTACAAATTAAGACTGATAATAGTTGAAGTTAGTATTCTGACATGGGGCCTGGTATGAGTTTATTCCTTTAAGAGAGAAGGTATTTCATTTCAAAGGATTTCTTATCTGCACATGTTTGGAGTTTGAACCTTTAGCACCTTGGATGATTAGTTTGAGGGGGCAGAAACTTGCCAGACAGAAAAGAGAGTGGCATATGTGCTTTTCAATAGGACTATGTGTGTTGCTGGAAGCATTTGTTTAGCTTCTTTCCATTTGTAATTATCTCTGCATTTTTCCTTATATAGGTGTCAACCTGGAAAGAGGTTTGGTTTCTGCTATCATTGGATGAGATTACAGTGTGTTTAAATCGCAAAAGAATAGAGAGAATGGAATGGAAAAGCTTCCTTTCTTTCTTTCTTTTTTCTTTTTTCTTTTTCAAGTAAAGAACTGCACTTTCAAAAACTGCTTCTATCCCATCAGTTTTGCCTCCCAGGGCTCCAACAAAGTTTCAGTTTTAATTCCCAGAAAGAATAGCTTCGGTGGATTCCAATTAGTATATTGTGAAACTAGCTTTTGAAAGTATGCGTTCTTTTTCTCCTCCTACCTGTATCCCTTTAGCCATTCCATTATCCTAAGATTGATCCCTCTAGGATTTAGGTTTCTCAACCATTCGTCGGAGAACATTGTTGGTGAGGCTGTCAGATAAACATGCAATGTCCTGCACCCACTCTTATTTGTATCACACGTCATCTTCTTAATGCAGATTCCATTTCAACCTCCTAAGACAAGCATCAATGGTTTCTTTGAGAGCATTGAGGATCTATGGAAAAAATTTTGGGAGAATTTGACAGATTTTATCACTGGGAAAAGTTGCAGGTATGTAAATCTTTTATGTCTATTTAGTGTCAAATGATAGCCAATGAAGCATATTATAGATATAGACTCTTAGAAGACTTGTATCTCAATCGTGGTGTTTCCATTGAGTTTCACTAAAGTTTAAAGCTTGTAATTGATTCACTAAGGTTATATACTGACTTGAGTGCTCTAGGCAAGAGTTCTAGATATCTATATATACCCTCAATGTTAATTTTCCATCTGTCTTGCATTGGTCTCTGGCTAACCATGATAAACTATAGGCAATCAAAGGATTTATTGCATCCACTTAAAGGGTTATGAGTAGTGTTGTATTCCATTCATATAACTTCAGTTTTCATATGAATTTTCTGATTAGCTTTTCTTTTGATAAAATAATTTCCTGATTAGATTTTAGTCAACAAATGTTTTTAACTAAAAGAGTTGTTAGTCTGCTACATATATTAACCAAACATTATTGGTGATAGTGTATAAATTTGAATTTAGGAGACCAACATCTTTTTTCCAAAATGAACTTAAATAGCTACTTAGGTTCTGTTACCAGTTCTTTCTGCATTATGATGTGGCAAGAGCTATTGCCTCTGCTTTCTGGACCAAAAGTGATATAGTCTTCGATTTATTCCTGAATGTTTCTCTCATAAGCATAACGGACCAATTGAAGTTTTATTTGAGAAATTGATGCATCTCTTCTTGGAGACTTCCAGTTCTCTCTTTTGAATTATCCTATTCTTGATTAGGGCATTTAATTCATATATCGGCTATTTCCATCATGTAGAGCGCTTGAAAATATCATGTACCATCCTAAGGACATATTTCGTCTTCTGAAGAAGAATGCTGACTACCATAATCTCATGCTGAGTGAGGACATACAATTGCACGAATTTTATATCATTTTGTTATTTGATTTAGTTTGGTGATGTCTGATGCGGATGTTATATTTCGCTGAAAGTAAGAGTAATTCCTGTCTATTTCCTGAGAGAAACTAGTTGTGCCCAAGTTACTTTTTGGATCTGATTATGCAACCCTGATTATTCAAGTTACAGAATGAAGTGCTCTGGATTCTTCGACTTCAGCTGCCATATACAGTACATCTGTATCACTTGGGTAGTAATGTTTTGCCTGTTCTTGGCAATTCTTCCAACAGGTTTCTTGCTTACTTGACTCTTGTGCTAATCTTTTAGAAGTTGAAAGCAGAAACATTTTGACACTATGTTACTTTTGTGACTTGCAGTGATTGTACTACTCTGGCTTCTTCACCAGAAAGGTTTATTTGATCCTCTGTATGACTGGTGGGATGATCATTTTTCAATTACTGAAGATAGTCATATGAGTCATTGGAAGCATAGTTACACTCCTGACTCATTAAGAATTCATCATAAGAAGAAAAGCCATAAACATGAGCCAAGGCATCATAAGCATCATGCACTAAGGAGGCACACAAAGCTTCACAATGATCCAAGGCACGAGAATCTTTTGAGAGAAACTGATTATCATTACTACCTTCACCATGTGCACAAGGATAAGCACAAACACGGAAAAACCAAGAGCTCAGGCATTACAAAGCCACTTCGTTCAAGGAAGGGAGAGGATGACCATTTGAGACATCACAGACGAATAAAAGAGAGAGAAACTTTGGGAGGACTTGTCATAAACAAGAAGCCAAGTGCTGAAATTCAAGAGGAATATCTAAGGCACAAACATCCCATCTTAAATGACACACATCATAAGAGGCAAATCAAGTGGAAAGACTGACTAGAACTGATTTGACAGTGATTGTCAAAGCCTTGCAGCTATGTCATGTAGAGAAGATGTTAAATTTGGTTTTTTCTTCTTTATAACGTTCTTTTGACCCCTCTTAGAGTATCTCTAGTTCAAACTAAATACTCTAGAGATATTTCGCGGAGAAGAGCAGGGTTTTGAAATATGGGGGAGCAGGAAATAGTGAACTTTGCAAATTATATTGCTCTCAGATTCTAGTAGGAGTTCTTAATTCAAAACTGTACCATGTATTGAATTTATGCACACTTTTGTTCTTTTCTTCTTCAATAACAACTACACTTTGTGTTGGAATCATAAAAAAAGAAAAGAAAAGAAAAAATATATGTATAGATGTTGATATCAGTAAATTTTAGCAAAATTTCCCCAGACTAATGATTTGCTGAGTTCTTTCTTTCTTTCTTTCTTTGTCCCAGCACTCTGTCTGTCAGCGTTATCTTTTGCTGCTTTGAGAATATCCGGGTAAGTTCGTATTCTTGGACACTTCTACTGATTTCCTCATTTTTTGTTGTTGGCTATTGTATCTTCTCATCTTTTTCCGAGAGCCTAATGTGGTAACCGTTGGGAAATTGTAGACCAGGAGTCCGCAGTGTGTCTCCTCCTTGTATTGTTTCCCACCTGACAGTTTTCGCCATGTATAATATTAGCTCCCTCTCTTTTTTTCCTCAAAGATATTACTGCAAGTTATGTTTTTACCTGTATTTGGTCACGAGGGAGTGGAGAAAGACAGCCATCTGCACCTTTGTGAAATCTGTACCAACACAAAATCTCATACCACCTCCAAAAGCCATGAAATTTCGAGAAGCTCCATTCATTTCTACTCCCTGTATTCCATGAATATTTCATTAAGACTTGAGGAAATTACACTATGATCACACACAACCAATTTCATTTTCTGTAACCTTCAATATCGTGCAAATAAAGTAACAATAAAGCATGAAAGGCTCACCTCCCATCTCCATGGATTGAATTCAAGGGGATCTTGATATTTGGCAGGGTTTAAGTGCACAGCCGGAGGACAAACCATAATCGCCCAACCAGCTGGAATGGTATACCCTGCATCAGATGGAGTATTACATTAAGGTATGTTCCTATGAGTAAATCTGGAGCTTTATTCACAAGAATATGTTGGTAAAGAATTTTAATCGTATATACCTTTGAAGTTGACATCTCTTAGTGCTTTTCGGAAAATTGCTGGAACAATATTTGCCAGTCTGACTGTTTCATTAATAACCTACATATCCAGTATTCATGTTAATGAAGAATGTTCTTAGTTCTGGTTACTAAGAATTTTGAAAATGGAAAATCAATTTTAAATAAAGTACCTGAAATGTGAATTTCATTGATTTATATTCTTTCCATGTAAGTCCAGAAGCTGGATTTTCCCTTCTTCTAATTATCGCCTCATGTTCCTCCTGAAAGTATTACAAACACGTTATTACTGGCATGGAAAAACGAGGCTGATTAGTTGAACAAGATTAGTCACACTTACTGTTAATTCTTTTAAAGCCAATGGATGGTCGTGAAGAAATTTAGTGGCTAAAGTTATAGCCAGAGAGGTGGTCTCGAAGCTGGCAAAGAGCAGTACAAACATCAAATCTAGAGCTATTGCCTCGGTGAGGATTGTGTCCTTCCTTTGAAGTTCTTCTAAGACATAATCAAAGAAATCACTTTGTTCCTTCCTAGGCTTTGCTCTTCTTTCCTCTAGCAGTGTCTTTAGCATCTTCATTGCCTTCTTTCTTCCCTGGTGATCACCTCCAGAGTCAGTTAATCACTTCAACAAGTATATGGGCACACCATTCTTGGGTGAATTTGCAGAACAGTATACTTGTGCCAGATAGCTAAGTCTGAATATGTAGTGTTAATACCTGTAAGCACTTGTGATAGGCAGTTCCGGGAATGTCAATAGGGAAGGAAATCAATCCCTGTATAAAAGCTACAAAACTTTCTCGCAGATTTTCCGATGAGTTCTCAGAATCATAGCTGATTAGCTTTTTTGCAGTTAGATCAAATATCATCTGTAGAAACACCAAGAGATTAGCTGATTGAAATTCAGAACGTTTTAGCATATTACCCAAGGGGAAAGTTTGGATAACTTACATTAGCAGTTGCTTCCTTCATCTCTACACTTGTCTGACCTGACCACCTCTTCAATTTATTTTTCGCTGCCTCTTCAACCTCAGGCATCATCTTTTTCAGACTTTCAGGACCAAAAAGGTTTAGTACCATGTTCTTCAAGTACTTGTACATAAAACCATGCAAGGAACCTACATTCTGCCTTCCAAATATCTCAGTGAATGTATCCGGATACCAGCTCTGAAACAACTGTCCCTCTTGCTGAAAGATGAAGTAATTTAGGTCGGGGTCTGTAGATACTATAACAGGACGTCCCACCACGCTAGTTCGAAAAATCGGCCCATACCTGAAAGAATTGCCAAAGACTTGTTTATTAAGATCGTAAAATGAAGTCTGGTAATGTCAGTTTGTATTATTATTACTATATAATAAAACCAAAAAAAGTGGATTGCAGCAACCACCTTTGCATCCTGTCCTTCACAAAGGGGGCAATATCTGATGATGTATTGGGGGCAAAGAACTGAATGGTCTCACCAAGTAATGGCCAGCCCATTGAACCTGGTGGGAGTTTTCCATTGCATCTGGGATTCCTCCAGTTGTAAACCCAATGTATAATGATTATAAGAAGAAAAGCTCCAATGCAAATACCCACTGATATCATCTTAGTTAATATGTATTATCTGCCTCTCTGTATCTATAGATGAGAGGAAGAGAAGTTGGAGATCTTCTGAAAGTAAGAACTGTAAAGGGAGGCAGAAAGAACTTCCCAAGAGAAGGAAGTGGAAATGTGTTTGTAGGCAGGTATGAAAGAGCTTGAGAAAAGGCTGCCCAAAGAGAAGGAAATATATTGGTTTATTATCAATAAAATAGTAAGTGGGAGAGTAATGGTAGGAGATGTTGTGAGAAGAAGATTAGTAGAATGAGAAGAAACTGCTGTCATGTACTCCATATCCACGAGGAGGAGTTCTTAAATAGGCAGGCTAGAATTACAACTAATTAGAATAATAGTTCCATTTGTTTTTTCAAGTTGGTTGCTCAAAAGAGCTGTACAAGTAGTTGGAGATAAGAATAGTATAGCCAGAATTATTTTGAGTTGAGAACATCCTCATTCCTTTGTCAACGGGCACATATAAAAAATTCTAAAGAAAAAAAAAAACTAAAATGACGATTGAAGCTACCACGAAGCTGTCCTCTCTCTGTTTCTTTCTCTCTCTGTACATTATCTTTGAAAGGTCTAAACACACAAAACTGAAGGAGCACTTGCAAGAAATGTTGCATATCTTTAGGAGCTTTAATTGGGATTAAAAAAAAAGCCATTTTCACAGATTTAATAGGGTGCAAATTGGATTTAAAGGCATCTCTTTCTTGCACTTGGAAGTATGAAATCAATCATCAATATGAAATTACAACTACAAAATCTTATGGTTGAATTAGCTGCAGCAAAATCTTGCCAGTATCTAAGTTAAATACTCTTATGTCATTCAAACAGACTTAATGTAAAGAATCAAGATAGATGCTACTCATGATTGATTGTTCTACTCCTCAATTTTGCTTGTCAAGATTTAGATCTTATCCTAGATCTTATTCTTTAGTTGTAGTCGGTTATACCATGTCAAATTTTGAATCTTAATTACATAAGCAGTGATTCCAAGAGGAGTATTCTAGATATTGAGGCAACTACTGTATCAGGTTCTCTACTAAACTATTCATCCATTATCTTATCTGACAAGGGAAAAATTAACTATTCTTTTGCCTTATAGTAACCCTTTTTCATTTTCAACACATAGAGCACCACCCCCACCGTCGAGCCGCGGGCTTAATCCCACTAAATAATGAAGTATAGGTAGGTTTACTGTGGATTATGACCAACCATAATTATGCAGGTTAGCTTGCTTCTTAATACTAATCCTGCATTTGTTTGTACTTTAGTAGTATAATAATGTAATAAGATTCATGTGTTAAGACAACAGAATTGGATTATGAGTTTAAGCAACTGTTTAAGTCTTAATCTAGACAAGCGCGGGAATCAAAATCTTTGTCTGGTTCTGGATACTTATGATTAAAATAAAAGAACTCGTGTGCAGATTGAACTATTTGGGTCAAAGGGGGTCCATTTTGCAACAAAAAAAAGGCTCTATTAGGTTGTTAACATATTAATTTTGTGTTTTTAAAATGTTCTTTTTGGTCACTATTACAGAGAAATTTGTTGTTTTCCTTTTTAGAGAAACCTCAGGGAAAGTCCTAGCTATTGTTGGAATGGTGTCACTGATGCTGTACCATTGTACCAATTTTCGGTGATTTGTTTTAAAGGCTTTTTAAGTAGAAAAGTTTCAGTGAATACAGAGTAAAATGACCAATTCTGAATGGATTGCTTAAGAGGATGACACAGATAGCTCAACTGCCTTTTGGCCTTAGGCTAGAGAAAAGGTCTTATGTGGAGGTGCAGAATAATGACAGCTCAATTTGACTCCTAGTTTGAAGCTTTTTAAAATAAAGAATTAGTACTAACTCTATAGATTAGACAGAAAAGGAAGTGATTAATGAAGTCAAATTCTCTGGACCTTGGCGAGTACTTAATTTTTTAATAGCTTAAGAGTAAGGGACTTTTTCTTATGGGGCTTCTAAGAACCGACATTAAAAGGTCCTACTTGTCTTGATGGTGTAAAGCACAGATCTGATATTTGGGACCCACCTATTTTTAAGGCAAAACCTCTCCACCTGGTGTCATTTTTTTANAGGCAAAACCTCTCCACCTGGTGTCATTTGTTTACTTTTTATATTGTGACTTTTGCATCTCCAATAAAACTGTTTCTTTAGTTTACCCAAGAATCCACAGTAAACATTCTTTTAATTATTTGATATATTTTAAATTCATTAATTTGACTATTCTAGATTTGTGATAAATAACCCATTAAGAATTCATTTGGTACGAGGAATAAAGGATAATTATTTTCGAGATTAAATTTGAGATAAATTTATCTCATATTTGGTTGGGATAAAATCATGGTATAACTAATCCCGAGAATGTAGGGTCTTTTATTCCTATGGGAGGATGGGATAACTAATCCCATAATAATTAGTTATGGGATAACTTATTTCCCAACCAAATGACCTCTAAATCTCTTCACCGAAAGGTTCCGAACTCGAGACCCAAATTAAGAGCAAAGAGTTTTAGCTATCCACCATGCTATTTGTGGTAGAGATGTCAATGGTTCTTTAAAAACCGACTAAAACGATCGAACCGTATGAAATCAATTATTAGGTTTCTTTTAATAAAACCGTAGGTTTTTATATAAATTTATAGTTGTACCGAATAATAGGGTAGGTTTTTAATTCTATAAAAATAAAACCGAAACAATACCGAACCGTTCCGAATAAGTTTATATATGAAAAGTATATTTTAATATACTAAGTTAAAACTAGTAACAAATTATTAAGTTTTTTTCTTGAGTCTTGGATATGAAAATGGCTATAAGTGACCAAATAATTAATATCTAAACTCCCAACTTCCAAATCTATTCTACTACTCATAGAAACTAAATTAGCTCTGACATCATGAGTTGCTAGCACTAGGTATTCCAGCGATCTTCAGTTGTAAGCCAAGGTATTGGATATCTTTCCTCTCGTATAATGTAGATTTCTTTTGTTGGATACTAATCTTCTAATAAGCTCTATTCTTGAGTCCCAACTTGATTAGTATCTTTCCACTTGTATGATTTATATTTCTCGTCTTTGCTTAATTTATTTTACGCTACCATAAAATAGTGTGATGAATCTCTATTTTGCACATCTTTTATGTTCCTTTGATCATTAATTTTAAAATAGTAAAAATACCTAGAGAGTTTTTCTAAAATCCTATTCAAATACATATTTATAATATTATGACTTCGACTAGCGACTCTTGCATGACGTTTTTAAAAATACCGAAAATTAATCGAACCGTACTGGTACTAATACTGATACAGAAGAGAAACCGAGATGATTTTGATGGTTTCAATAAATCTAATTTTGGTTATACGAAATGAAATAACCGAAAAATTAGTTTGATATAAATTTTATAAAAAATCGGCCGACCGAACCATTGACACCCCTAATCCGTGATACAGAGCAAAAGGTTTAATTCTTATTCCTATACAAATTGAGAAGTGGGAGCAAATTTTTTCCACCCCATAAGAGATAATTAGTCCGGAAATATCCTTTCGATGGATAATTTTCTTCTTCTTGACAAAAGAAATACTCCCTCTTTTTGTTTTTTAAAATGCGTTTCACCCCCTTAGCCTGTAATAAATTTGTGCTTACAAGTTACAACCTCTGAACTTATTCTCAATTTTCTTGTCTCCCTATCTCGAGCGCCCTTACCCAACCCTGTTTGTTTTGTCCTTTTATAAAAGAGAGAATCCTCTTTGTTAAATTTCAAAATTGATGCACTATGGGATATGTTATTGCTAGATTGCTAAAAGGGGAAAAAGAAAAAGGAAAGGAAGAAGACAAAAATGAAGAGATAAAGCTTGAATCTTAAATCATAGTATTAAAGTACAAGACTTGATCCTCATTGGCCTCTCCTATTTTCCAACTCCGGGGTCATCCTAACCACTAATTAAACTATGAAAATTATAGGGAAACTAAGAGAGGGAGCCTAGCTAGAATGTGCATCCTTTTAATTTGTGAATTTGAAAAACGACGTGACACCCTTGTACAAGTTAATAATTCGTCATATAAAATAAATTTTTTAAACAAATATATAGAACTAAAATTACAGGATTCTTTTCGACCTATAAGCTACATTTCTAGAGGCGGATGTCTTTAAAAAAAATAGTGATATACTAAAAGTAGCATCCTATATACCATGTAGATTTCGATTAAACGCAAAAATGCAACGACGACCTTCAAATCCTTGGTCCACCCCACCCGTTGTAAAAGCCACATGAGGTTACGGATCTATAATGTACCACTTATTTCTGCTGTGTTAGAAGTGCTAATTATGTACTTAATTGTTGAACACATTGCTATAGTCAAACTCGAACTTCACACCGACGTGCTAGGGCTTAAGATAAGGATAGAACTCGTTTGGATGGAAGCATTGGACCTTACGTATTTCAAACTCATAAATTTAAATCCTTTGTTCTGTATGGAAAAATGTAGAAAAAAGCAATTGAGATATTTACAGTAGGTTGTCTATTTGAATTAATCATATGGTGTGTTTGGTACGAAGGAAAATATTTTTTGAAAAATATTTTTTATTTTTTTTATGTTTGGTTGGCTTAAATGCTTTGGAAAATATTTTGCTTAGCAATTCATTTTCCTCCAATTGGAGGAAAATGTTCTCCTATCAAAAGGAGGGAAAATATTTTCCAAAACTCTTATTCAACCTTCTCCACCCTATTCCCTATGCCCACCAACCCATCCCACCCCCAAACCACCCCAACC